CCGTAAATAAACTGTATATATTCTACGAAATTACGAGGGGCAATTAAAATTTTAATATGGTTAGGTCTATGAATTTCCCAACGGTTTAACTCGCCGTATGAATATCATTATCTGCTTATACCTGCATCGCTATTGCATTATTGATCTGCTTGCGCACTTCGGAGTGCTGCCAATTAAACTATCACGTAAAAGGATCTGTAGCTGATATTGACACGCTAATTGGAATAATTGTCGTGTAGAGCAAGTTATTAGATTAACACATAATATGCGTGGGAAGAGAAGATTTTCAAGAGGATTTCAGTAGGAATTATGATAATTTTTTGAAGAATCATTTCAAAAGGATTTTTTAAATTTAAAGATAATTACAAAAACAAAAGATAAATATTAGGAGAAATTAAAAAAAAAAGAAAATCGTACCAAGAAAAGTGGATTTTAAAGATTGCATTTCCGAATTTGTGTTTCTTTTCACATACACCGCTTCATATTGAACGTGAACGAAAATATGTTCGGAGATAAGAGTGGTAAACGGTGCGCGTTTAGAATTAAACCTTGTTCTCAGCTCTCATAACCAGTGCGACGGAGACGTAGAGGGGTTAAAAACGTATGGAGGTGTACAGAAAAAAAAATTTGGAGTGCCGTTTAGGTTTTTCCATCCGGCAAATACAAACAGCCAACGAAACAGAAGAGGCGGTATCCGCAACTTGGTTTCAAATCAGTACCATTTTGGTGCGTGGAAATATACTGGATGCGTCAAAAAGTAGATTTGGTATAACGGTTTATTTCCATAATTACAAGTATTACAATTGCTCACGGTATATTTTGTTGAATGATCCTCGTAACAGTCGTAACCTTCGACTAAATGACTCCATCTATTGTTCGAACCACACAATGTTAGCGGCATTGAACCAGGTCCTCGTAGGTGGAATGACATAGCCCGTAAACGAATCTTGCCAGGGCGCCGTGACGAGAGAGATGGTAGATATACTTCATCGTGTTTCATTCACGTGGCGTTTATGCGTTCTACAAAATAATGTGCCAGACAAGGATGATTATACAAACAACGTGTCAAACAGGGATGAGGAATTGAGGATACCTACCACAGCCTACGTTAAGCGGCACGCGATTTTGGTTATCGATGCCGTTCCAGTTACAGAGTGTACAGTTCAATGGTTAGCAGTCGGTGTATTTCGCCTTTATCTTATTTTTCTGTCAAGAACCTTCGACAGACCCAGTTCGTCTAAAAAAACAGCCGAGGCGTTAGTGAAAACGCATGGAATCTTAATTGCCGTCATCCATATTGGACGGATTTACCCTTAGCTCCGTAGAGAGGATATAATTGTGGTTTTTTGCTTCTTCTTCGTAAGTCATTTCGTAAGTCATTTGCACTTTATGTATTTGACGTGTATCTTTCTTTAGGTTTCGGCTGATATTTGCCATATTGTAATTTCCATCGAAGATTGTTGCATTCATATATAATTAGCCCTTAAAAATTTAAGAGGTATGTACATATTATGCAGGGCCGGATCTCCATATCTTGCGCCTATGGGGCCCTCTAAATAACCGCCCCCCTACAAACAATTAAAAGCATTTTTACCCCATTGGTAGAGCAGCCTTGGCTGAAACCCCGCCCACTCAAAAATAAAATAAAATAAAATAAAATAAAATAAAATAAAATAAAATAAAATAAAATAAAATAAAATAAAATAAAATAAAATAAAATAAAATAAAAATAAAATAAAATAAAATAAAATAAAATAAAATAAAATAAAATAAAATAAAATAAAATAAATAAAATAAAATAAAATAAAATAAAATAAAATAAAATAAAATAAAATAAAATAAAATAAAATAAAATAAAATAAAATAAAATAAAATAAAATAAATTTCGCCGAAATGTGTTGTTATGTTACCCCATATTTCATGATTACTTCTAAGTTTCGGTGTGTTTAAGAGTGTGCGTAACATTCAATGTCATTTTTCCACTATATTACTGTAGAATAATTTCCAAAATTTTTTTCGCCCCTACAAATTTGCTGCAATGTGCCCGGGCCCACATGGCTCCATGCTAAATCCGGCCCTGATTGTTTGACATCAACAAAGGGGTTACCTTTGATTTTCGTTTAGGGTTTCAATTGTAGGGTTCAAATCCTAGATTGAATTGTAATTGCCAGTTTAAAAGTTTCGAAGACGTTTTAAGTACAATGTGCGACTTTGGAATTGATAATCTTGTATTAAGCTTGCCAACATCTTTTACCAACTGCTGATAGTGTTCCATTAAAAAAAACAACTATCGACTATAGAAATCTACTTTTTAACATCACCCTGTATGTGGAAAAAGTGCGCAAGAAAAATTATGTTAGACGTGTCCCCATTACCCCCTGATTTTTATATGGACTTGTTCCGTATTTTAGGCGCTACCAGTTTTGATTATCGACCGGACTGGTATATTGATTGGAAGCAGTTTCTCTGGATCAAAGGGCAAATATCATCAGGTAGTCTGTTCGTACAATATCCATTCGAGGGCGCTAGTTGGTACAATCTGCATTTAGACACATTTTAAAGTAATTTGGTAATTAACCAAGTTACAATTACCGCTCCAACTTGGAGCTTAAAAGAAAGGAGATATTACACTCTTCCACTACACCACCCACAATTGCCCGTGACTCCTCTGTGCTGTGTCTCTGAAATCAATGGAAGGAATCCGTAAGTTGTGAACATTTATAATGCGAGTATCAAATGAATTTTTGGAAAACTCTAAGAGGAAATATAGAAAAGTTTGATTGAAGCTCGGGTCCCAGGAAATTTAAAAAGGGTTTTGAAGGATGTAAGAAGAATCTTCAGTGGATTTTTGGAATATTTTCTTGAAAGAAATTGAGAGGTTCCACCCTGTATATACGACTTACGACGATGCACACATTCTTGAGAGTTGGCAACCACGCAATTTTTAGGAGGGGAAAGCGATTTGTGCTATATGGAGAGCACGAACGGAGGTTACGTTTGGCATCTTGTCTTGAATGGAGGTCGTGAATGCGTCGCTCCATAAATGTTTGTTGTTATTTTGTGTTATTTAATGCAGATAGTAATTCTTGCATTTCTTTATATCGTATTTGTGTTTTTTATGTCGCATTTTATTTTTTGTGTGTTTCAATCTTTGTTTTTGAAATTTACTTGGTTTAACCACAATGCAGAATGACATGTTTAATACCGTTATGCTATTGTTTGTAATTGTTTACGTTTTTGGTTTAATGCTTGCTTAATTTATGTTTATTAATGTTGATTACTTGGTCTTTTCCCTGAAGTTACATTCATATAAGTTTTGATTATTTTATTTTAATATGTGGAAACAACACAGTTGTTTGGTGTATGTACTGACTTGTTGTTTGTAACTAACATTTTCTCCGTGAATGAAGCAGTCACATGGGTGGTAAAAACTGTAATCAAATTGAGTTACGACACATAATTCCGTGATTGTCTTAGACATTCAACTGAAGGCTCGCAACCCCGAAACGAGGGGCGGGTTACCTATCTTGCAGGAGCGGGATTACGCTAATCAAAGCTTTTCAGTTTAGAATCTACGTGCGATAAATGAGTTACGATTCGTAATTTCCACATATCGTGTTTTAATTAAATTTGCCTACAAGGCCATGTACTTTTCCATCTTGCTTTTAACAAAAGTATTTCATTGCACCAAAGATGAGTCACATCCTGTGTATTTCACCCTTTCTTAGAATCTTGGTACCTGCTTACCTGACCCATAATTCCCAAAACTTGTTTTTAATCTATACGTTACTTCTTGAAGTCTACTTGCTACTTTTTGTGATGTTATAATTTTATGTTACGCATTCACATCATTAGAAACAATTAATTTTACTACACAATTTAATATTAATTTGACGGCTGGTTTTTTTATTGGTAAGTTCTTTTTTTCCCAGCCTATTTCTATGTTTATTCGGTGAACTACAATTTTCAAAGTTTATTTTTGCAATGTAATTTATTTTGACTTAAATTTCCGAGCTTTTACAATCATAATAATTACGATCATTATTAAACAAACTTTTTACAATTTAATTGATTTATTTTACGTTCCTTCCCTACTGTGGTTCAGGTCATAGCGTTGTTTACAACTAACGTAAGGGGGCCCTGTCTTAGATGTTTGATCACGTGCCACTTTTCAAATTGAAGCGGGATCTTGTTTAGTTTTGGAGGGAATATAGTCATTCCATATATATAAGAGAAGTCGAGTGGCCATTTTTAAACGTTGCCGGGTTGACTTTATTTCCGTGTTCTTGTAGTGTGAAGGTAGCGTAGAACCTGGGGGGTTAAGTACACTACAAAATTATGGAACATGTCTGGGAAAATTGCAAGTGATCTCAAAGACGATTTTAGGATAGTTTCAAAATAATTTTAAGAGATACACCAAGAAGAAGCTCATGAGGAATTCCTTGCAGAACTTGGGGCGTTGGCTCTAGAGATTTATAGAGTTTTGGATGGTGTTGTAATATTTCGAACTTGAAAGATTTAAAATAAAATTTGAGGAAAGAAGGATTGGAATCTTGGTATATGTGAAGCAAGAAACGGATGATGTTTTTTCTATATCCCATATATAGGTATTCAAGTAAAATCTTGAGTTTCTGTCATCGACCATCAGATAAGTCGAGAGATTGGAATCAGTTTCTCTTGATCAATTTTCTCTCTACGAGAATCATAGGGTAAGTTGAAACAGTTCGATTGAACTAGTAGGTGTGATATAGATAAAAACACTATAACCACTGGTTTTAAATAAGCTCCAAGGTCGCAGGAACTAAATTAGGATACCGCCACTGAGTTTAAATACCAATAACTGGTAATTGTATTAAGTTCAATGGAAACCCTTGATCATGGTAACTTTATTTCTACGTGCCGTGTATGTGTTGAAATTGTCAGTAACAATTGATCGCAGTGGGTTGGTAGGATTGTCTAATTGACAATTTATCAAAGTTTCGAACCAATCTCGTTCGAAACTACATGTGTTTAATCGCCTTTTTAGTGGTTCGCATTTGGGGAAGATCCAGCCATCTTTTTAGAGTACACAGTGTTTGTTTTGTAGTTTTTGATCAAAATTTCACTCGTAATTAAATGTCAGAACCACAGTCAGCGCTTCTATTAAGAAAACAACTCGCAGGTAAATCGAATTATTTGATAAGGACCCGCCCGAACGTCGCTCTCGCGCCGCAGAATTAAGAAACGTGATCCATCGCCTAAACTTTTTGCCTGAAGACGACCTCGCCAAAACGAGCGAAAATTTCCCATTAACTGACATTTCTAAATTTAGTCGATTATTTATACTCCCGCAGCCTCCGCTTTGAATCCGAACGGCAATTACCTGTAAAATTAATGAAGCAAACTGAAAAATCAATAACCTTACTTGTGTTTTCGCAATTTTCCACCGAAATGTGCACATTTTCACCGATCTCTCCTTTCAGAACTGAACAAGAATCCCGTCGAGGGCTTCTCAGCTGGATTAATCGATGATAACGACATTTACAGATGGGAGGTGCTGATCATCGGTCCACCGGACACGCTTTAGTAAGTCACTGATTCTCCGTGCCGACTTATAACCTCAAATTTCAGCGAGGGGGGCTTTTTCAAATGCCATCTACACTTTCCAAAGGAATACCCCCTTAGGCCGCCGAAAATGAAATTCGTCACCGAGATCTGGCACCCGAACAGTAAGTACAAGCTCCACGGTACTGTTCAGCTACGACAACCTTCGTTTTTCAGTCGACAAAAACGGAGACGTATGTATATCAATCTTACACGAGCCGGGCGACGACAAGTTCGGCTACGAGAAGGCGGAGGAACGATGGCTTCCCGTTCATACTGTAGAAACAATTTTAATATCAGTTATTTCAATGTTGGCCGATCCCAACGACGAATCGCCGGCGAACGTCGATGCTGCTGTAAGTATTTCGCGGGCCGTTCGATCGACTACATTTTGATCGTTTTGCAGAAAGAGTGGAGAGAAGCTTATACAGAGTTTAAAAGAAAGGTCGCCCGCTGTGTCCGAAAATCGCAGGAGGAGTGTTAATAGACTGTATAATAATAAATAATACGAAAATTACTGGTGATTTGATTTCCACTGTTTCAAAATTAGTTGTGGCTCTTTTTGTGTTAAACAAATTTGAACAATATTCGTAGACGATGTAAGTTTTTGTTATATTTGATCTCGGTCCAGGAGATGACGCTTTCAGTACACTTAATTTTGTAACTTTGTGGAATCTTATTGCGTGTGAAGATCTAACGTAAGAATATGTCAAATGTTTTTGTACTTTCCATAATTTTTCCTTTTGTATTTCTCTTCACTTAGCGTAAAAGAATTGTTATTATATAATTATGTAATCCATCCTTCAAATTGTAAATTTCAGTAACGATTCTGTAGGTAACGATTATTTAAGTAAATTTTATTATAAAAGTCGTACTCTAATTTTCATTCTTTTATGTCTTGTTAAGGGAGGTCCTTGCGAGTGAACCGAAATATTTATTTCCCCAATTATACTTTCTAAATTTATTGCCAGTGTTTGTCTTCTTTACCTATGAGCATGCTCACTGCCGGCAATGCATGCATTTTGCCTCTCACTGTTGGGTATCTGGAATGCAGTTCCACCCTGCTGATGCCTACTAAGAAACACTTCCCTCTGGGCTTTGGGAGGAGCACCTTTAACAACTACTTACTCCTTGCTTCAATCCAGTGTTACACAAATTAGAGCGAAGTGTGGGGCTTTTTTTTCTTCCTCCTTGCACCTATAAAGCAAGGCTGTCAAAAAATTTTGAAATACCCAGGCTCTTGGAAACAATTTTTTTTATACAACCACACCACAAATTATGGACTCTACAAACCACATTCTATAAGAAATTACTTTTTCCGGTCGATCTGAGATAATTTTTTTTTCGGGCCAAAAAAAAGGCAGTGTATAACCTTCCTTTTTTACTAAAAATCGACTGCACCAAAATTTCTCGGGAAAAAACTTTTTCTTATTAATTTTGGTGCGTAGAATCCAAAACGATTCGTACTTTTTCGATTAGACGTCTCAATTAAAAGTTATGGGCAAAAAACCAATTAAGGCAAAAAATTCAAAGAGCTGTAACTTTTGATCTAGTAGCCCGATCTTGGAACTGTTTGAAATTATGGATTCTACAGGCCACATTGTATAAGAAATTATTTTTTCCGGTCGATCAGAGACAATTTTTTTTTCTGGACAAAAAAAAAGGCAGTACGTACAACCTTCATTTTTTACCAAAAATCGACTGCACCAAAATTTCTCGGGAAAAAACTTTTTCTTATTAATTTTGGTGCGTAGAATCCAAAACAATTCGTACTTTTTCGATTAGACGTCTCAATCAAAAGTTATGGGCAAAAAACCAATTTCGGCAAAAAATTCAAAGGGCTGTAACTTTAGATCTAGTAGCCCGATCTTGGAACTGTTTGAAATTATGGATTCTACAGGCCACTTTCTATCAGAAATTATTTTTTCCGGTCGATCTGAGCCAATTTTTTTTTCGGACAAAAAAAAAGGCAGTGTGTATAACCTTCCTTTTTTACCAAAAATCGACTGCACCAAAATTTCTCGGGAAAAAACTTTTTCTTATTAATTTTGGTGCGTAGAATCCAAAACAATTCGTACTTTTTCGATTAGACGTCTCAATCAAAAGTTATGGGCAAAAAACCAATTTCGGCAAAAAATTCAAAGGGCTATAACTTTTGATCTAGTAGCTGGATCTTGGAACTGTTCGAAATTATGGATTCTACAGGCCACATTCTATAAGAAATTATTTTTTCCGGTCGATCAGAGACAATTTATTTTTCTGGACAAAAAAAAAGGCAGTACGTACAACCTTCATTTTTTACCAAAAATCGACTGCACCAAAATTTCTCGGGAAAAAACTTTTTCTTATTAATTTTGGTGCGTAGAATCCAAAACAATTCGTACTTTTTCGATTAGACGTCTCAATCAAAAGTTATGGGCAAAAAACCAATTTCGGCAAAAAATTCAAAGGGCTGTAACTTTAGATCTAGTAGTCCGATCTTGGAACTGTTTGAAATTATGGATTCTACAGGCCACATTCTATAAGAAATTATTTTTTCCGGTCGATCTGAGACAATTTTTTTTCGGGCCAAAAAAAAGGCAGTGTATAACCTTCCTTTTTTACCAAAAATCGCTTTCTCAGGAAAAATCTTTTTCTTATTAATTTTGGTGCGTAGAATCCAAAACGATTCGTACTTTTTCGATTAGACGTCTCAATCAAAAGTTATGGGCAAAAAACCAATTTCGACAAAAAATTCGAAGGGCTGTAACTTTTGATCTAGTAGCCCGATCTTGGAACTGTTTGAAATTATGGATTCTACAGGCCACTTTCTATCAGAAATTATTTTTTCCGGTCGATCTGAGCCAATTTTTTTTTCGGACAAAAAAAAAGGCAGTGTGTATAACCTTCCTTTTTTACCAAAAATCGACTGCACCAAAATTTCTCGGGAAAAAACTTTTTCTTGTTAATTTTGGTGCGTAGAATCCAAAACAATTCGTACTTTTTCGATTAGACGTCTCAATCAAAAGTTATGGGCAAAAAACCAATTTCGGCAAAAAATTCAAAGGGCTATAACTTTTGATCTAGTAGCTCGATCTTGGAACTGTTCGAAATTATGGATTCTACAGGCCACTTTCTATAAGAAATTATTTTTCCGGTCGATCAGAGACAATTTTTTTTTCTGGACAAAAAAAAAGGCAGTACGTACAACCTTCATTTTTTACCAAAAATCGACTGCACCAAAATTTCTCGGGAAAAAACTTTTTCTTATTAATTTTGGTGCGTAGAATCCAAAACAATTCGTACTTTTTCGATTAGACGTCTCAATCAAATGTTATGGGCAAAAAACCAATTTCGGCAAAAAATTCAAAGGGCTGTAACTTTAGATCTAGTAGTCCGATCTTGGAACTGTTTGAAATTATGGACTCTACAGGCCACGTTCTATAACTAATTATTTTTTCCGGTCGATCTGAGCCAATTTTTTTTTCGGGACAAAAAAAAGGCAGTGTATAACCTTCCTTTTTTACCAAAAATCGACTGCACCAAAATTTCTCGGGAAAAAACTTTTTCTTATTAATTTTGGTGCGTAGAATCCAAAACGATTCGTACTTTTTCGATTAGACGTCTCAATCAAAAGTTATGGGCAAAAAACCAATTTCGACAAAAAATTCGAAGGGCTGTAACTTTTGATCTAGTAGCCCGATCTTGGAACTGTTTGAAATTATGGACTCTACAGGCCACGTTTTTGTTTCCTATTGCATGTATAATATCAAATTAGCAGAAGAGATGCCAAATGTTAAAATGAGAAAAGAGGTTGTTATCGATATATACCTTTTTATTCTTTTATGGCTTGTCTGTTCCTCATGATTCCATTGTTTTCCTGAACCCAATCTCTACATTTTATTAGAATCCCTATTTTTCGTTCTCTATTTTGTATGGTACGGACTTCTGTAGTAGAAATATTTATTTTTAATTCATTTCTTAGGAAATTTATTGCGTCGGTTTCTTTAATATTATTTCCTCCTTCTGCTTTAATTATAACGTTATTTTTTTTCTTCATCCTTTCCTCTTTTTCCAGTCTCCATTACCTAGTTTGTCTATTCTCTCCGCTAGTTCTCGTTTTTCTTTGTTCCATTTTTCTTCCTTCTCTTGGTTTTTCCACTTCAGTTCCTGCATTTCTTTTTCAAACTCTTCTCTCATTTCCGTTATTTCTTTTCTGACGTCATTTCTCATTTCTATCATACTCTTGTTAAGGGTTATCATCCTGTTTTTAATTTCCTCCATGTTTTCGGGGTTTTTTTCCTGTTTTTTCTTTCTCTTCTGTTTTCGTTGTGAGCGGTGATCGGTAGATTTTGCTGTTTCTTTGTAATTGTTCTAGTTCGGCTTCTAACTGCTTCTTGCTTCTTCCTCTTCTTCTCTTCCTCTTTTCTTTATTAAAAATTCTTTTGGATTTCCTGTGCTATTGGCTCATTTCGTTGTTATCTATGTTTTCTAATCTCTTTTCCCTTGCTCTCTTTAGTTCTTGCCTTCTTTTGCCTCTTCAGTTCCGGCATTTTCTTTTTAAACTCTTCTCTCATTTCCGTTATTTCTTTTGTGACGTCATTTCTCATTTCTATCAAACTCTTGTTAAGGGTTATCATCCTGTTTTTAATTTCCTTATGTTTTCGGGGTTTTCTCCTGTTTTTTTCTTTCTCTTCTGTTTTTTTTGTGAGCGGTGATCGGTAGATTTTGCTGTTTTTTTGTAATTGTTCTAGTTCGGCTTCTAAAGTTTCCTTGCTTCTTCCTCTTCTTCACTTCCTCTTTTCTTTGTTAAAAATTCTTTGAGATTTCCTGTGCTATTGGCTCATTTCCATTTTTCCCTTGTTGCCTTTAGTTCTTGTGGATTCGCTGGCTTCTCTCCCCCTATTCCTTGATTATTACGCTGCTCTCTCACTTTCTGCTGTCGGCTCGGTGGCGTACGGCGATGTATGGTGTGTTGCCTATCCCCAAAAATTTTTGGTGCGCCTTCCGTTACTTGACGTTAACTTTTCTTATCTTTCCTTTGCATGCAACTTTCGTCCTTATGAATTTCTTATAACCTCTGAAGTTACTACTCCTATTCTAGGTATACTCACTGTCCAATGTAAAAATAAGTTTCACCAGAACCCCAGGGAGGCTCAAAAGAATTTTTGAAAAATGTAGGATATCCTACGAAAAACCCAGAAATGATTCTCTGGGAATTTCAGGAGAATTGTTAAGGAATGTCGAGAGATTTTCAGTATTTAAAGAAAACCGCGGAAGAATTTCAAATAATCCTAAAAAAAATTCAGAAGTTTTCAAGGAATTTATAAATCCTTCGGGAGAGTTTCGAGAGGTATTAGGAAAATGAATTCCAGTGGGATGCAATTATAACAGGATTTCCAGATAATTTAAACATTAAAGTTACCCAATGTGATGAGAGAGAACCCCTCTATACCCAGGGTTACCTACTTGTGAAAAAACGACTCAAGAGGCGTGATGCGTATCCTGTGCCCGTTATACAATATATATTAGACTGCCAGTTTCAAACCTATTAGTCCCTTCGAATCACAAACTCACTCAAAAAAATTCAATTTTTAATAGAGAAACATAAAGTATTAACAACAAACTGAATAATCTCAATATTTTCGAGCTACCATCAAAAATTATGGTTATTATTTAAACGATAAACTTGGATATATCAAACAATTATTAAATATATCTTTATATTACAAATCACAGTTAGTAGACGTATTAACTAAGACATAAAATGGTCGACTCAAAAAATAGAGCACTAGGTGTACTCACTGTCACTTTTGAACGTGTCGAGCAAAGGCTCGACGCTGCACTTATCGGATCTACTACTAATTGTCGATACGTTATTGGACGAAACCTCCGCGCTCGAGTGTTTCGATCTTTTCGCGAAATGGGACTGTATATACGTCCAGAGTCTGAACCGTTCCTTTCCGGTCTCGGCCTGTTCGACCTTGTCGTCAATGCTGAGCACTTCGGGATTGAACGTGACCGTTTTTGAACACAGGGGCGAGTTCGAACCGTTGCAGCTGTTACCCTGAACCTTCAGTATGGAGGAGTGGAGATTCTGGTAGGAGAGCAGCGACCTGTGCTCCTGTTCGAGATTCAGGTCGATCGCGTAGTTCGATATGACGTCGGGGTCGATGTCGAGGGAGGAGGGTGAGAGGATCAGCGGCGAGTGGGAGGTTTCGGAGAATCGGAGGGTGGGCAGTTTCAGGGTGGTGTCGCCGTCGACGAGCTGATCGCCGTAGTCGGTGAGGAGGCTGTCCGATTTGAAAAACTCGGCGCACTCGGCGTACTCCAAGATTTCCTCGAGAAGGTCTTCTGCGAGCGACGTGCTCTTCACCTGTTCACTATCGCACGAACGCTGCCACGAGCAACTACCTAAACTCACGAAGTGTTCGTGCTCGTTCGAGCAGTTCGTCCTACCACTGAAACCGGATGTGCTGCTAACGTTGCTGCTCGAATTCGACTTGTCGGTGTGGCTCGCCTTGGCCAACTTCTCGAAGGTTTTCACGTTTCGGATGTCGTCGTCGCAGGTGCTGAGGTTGCCGATGATCTTCGGGGTTCTCCTCATGGCGAGGATGACCTGTGGCGAATCGGCGATGGTGGGGTTTTCAGGGGCCGGTTCCAAATTGCTGTTGTTGGAAGTGAGACTGGAAGTGTCAGAGAAGTACTCCGGTTGAGCGAGGGGCGCCAGCATCTTCCGGGCGATTTCGACCTTATGCACTAGTCTTTTGATCGGTTCCACTTTGGGCGGAAAAACCGCAGTCTCGGGGAAGGCGGTGAAGCAAGTCTCCAAGCACACATTCTGCCGCTCTGCCACTTCCTGCTGAGTCTTGTACTCGTTCCAGACGTCATTCAAGTTCAGACGGCGAGGTTTTCTTGGTCCCATGTTGATTACAACCTGAAACGCCGCCCATTAGTAACGATCATTGAGGCTGTGGGCGAAGGTGGTGCGAAGAAATGGAAGAATTTCGTGAGCGAGACGATACTCACCGAATTTCTAGATTCGCCTAAGGTGAGGGGGCTACACTTACATCACACCTATTACAAACAAGCAGGTAGCTATAAAAGAATACGAAATAAAATCAAAAACTTAAACGTGGTCCTACATAAAAAATACCTTGTGTCATGAAGTGGTGACATATAATCTATCGGAGACTGAAGGGAGTTGTGCTTCCTCCCACTTGTTCGTTCAACCTGCTCAAGATAGCGAAGATAGTTAACTGAGAATGATAACAGTAGATATACTGGTAGAGGTGCAACTAAAACTTCACAGCTAAAGTGCAAACAAGGTAACACAAATACACGATAATTGTCTGCGTCAATTGAGTGGAAGTTCCCATGACTGGTCCAATTCAAAATTTTAGCTCATATGGCGTTATTTGTATTTAAAAAAATAATTTGCATGTATATAGCCAATTAAATCATTAATCATTACGCTAGCGATCCATATTTTGGAAGGTAATTGAGCAACATGGTATTTATATGCCCTGTTGTATTATCCATTCGGGGCATACTGTTCTTATCTTACTATACCCGGAGCTATATAAGAGCACGCATTGAAATAACAGCGTTCCTGTTCGTAAGGCTGCTGTTTTCGAACCTGGGTTAGGGTGCGCAAGATTTACATTTTATCCAAAAAGTCATCAAACAAAGGAGTAATATGAGGGTCCGTTAACTTGGCCCCCCCACTGAGAGATTTGATAGTCGTATTATTTTGAAATGAATGCGCTCGTTATGCGCCATCGATAATAACTCTTGCGCCATTATCGTTTTTTAGAAATCCGAAAAAACATTTGGGGGGGCAAGTGAACGTAGCCCCCCCCCCCCAGTACGTATTTTGTCCCTTGTAACTAGGTCACCTGATACATTTGGTTATGCGCTCAATTGCGCCACTTGAATTAAAGCTAGCGCCATTACGGTTAAGCCGTGACAAATTTTCAAAAAGTGGGGGGGCCAACTTAACGTTTTTAAAAGTTACTTTTTTTTAACATCTTTTCATACGAAATTGTACTCTCAGGTATGCGCTGAAATGCGCCGTAAAAAGATATCTTTGCGCCATTATTGTTTTTTGGTTATCCTTAAATATATTTGGGGGGGGGGGCCAAGTGAACGGAATCCCCCATAACGCATTTTGCTACCGGTATTTGTGCCACTTGATACATCTGGTTATGAGCTCAATTGCGCCACTTGAATTAAAGCTAGCGCCATTACGGTTAAGCCATAAAAATTTTTTAAAAAGTGGAGGGTCTAACTTAGCGTTTTCAAAAGTTATTTCCGGAAGTGCGTCCATTTTGAAAATATTTTACTTCGATTCGGCCTTCGGAGTAACTCCTAAATACAAATTTTTAAAAACCTACCTATTTTACTTTCCCAGAATCGTTTAACTAAAGTTCCCAAAAAAACACCCTGTAGAGTGTTTCTGAAACACTATAATGGCGCCAAGATTTTTGTTTACGACGCATTTTAGCGCATGATGAAAGGTACGATGTAGTAGAAAAAACATGTTAAAAAACGTAACTTTTGAAAACGTTAAGTTAGCCCCCCCCCCACTTTTTAAAAATTTTTATGGCTTAACCGTAATGGCGCTAGCTTTAATTCAAGTGGCGCAATTGAGCTCATAACCAGATGTATCAAGTGGCACAAATACCGGTAGCAAAATGCGTTATGGGGGATTCCGTTCACTTGGCCCCCCCCCCAAATATATTTAAGGATAACCAAAAAACAATAATGGCGCAAAGATATCTTTTTACGGCACATTTCAGCGCATACCAAAGAGTACAATTTCGTATGAAAAGATTTAAAAAAAAAGTAACTTTTAAAAACGTTAAGTTGGACCCCCCACTTTTTGAAAATTTGTCACGGCTTAACCGTAATGGCGCTAGCTTTAATTCAAGTGGCGCAATTGAGCGCATAACCAAATGTATCAGGTGACCTAGTTACAAGGGACAAAATACGTACTGGGGGGGCTACGCTCACTTGCCCCCCCCCCAAATGTTTTTTCGGATTTCTAAAAAACGATAATGGCGCAAGAGTTATCGGTGGCGCATATGAGCGCATAACGAGCGCATTCATTTCAAAATAATACGACTATCAAATCTCCCAGGGGGGGGGGGGGGCAAGTTAACGGACCCGTTGAAACGGATGTAAGAACCAATACCCCACTCCTTATGTATGCATCCACCAGCCTCTCCACTGTTTTTAGAAGAAACGATTTCTCCAGTTTTCGAGGATATACGCTAAAGCCCTGCAGGTTCCAAAGAGGTGCAACAATTGCAAGAGCAGCGGCTCCAGGCCCTTCCCCAGTATAGCTGGGAATATCCCGTCCGGCCCTGCACTCTTAAATAGACCCATCTCAGAGATCCCTCGGTAACCATCCGAGCCACTTTCCAGTCGACCGGCCTTACACCGAGCCGGCTAGCTCCTTTTGTTGGTTCCGAAGTGAAGTAGTCACCAGAGCCTGGAAAGTGTGTTTCTAGGAGACATGTGAGAGTCTCACTAGCGATAGACGTACACGAAATTTTTGAACATCAGGAAGACCCTCCATAATCTGGTTTTCAAGATCTGAGTTCCACCAAGGTGTTCTCTTCTTTCCTCGAAAGGTACGCAGTTTACAGCTGTCCTCATAGGACGCTGTTATGGCGTCGCTTACTAACGCGACCGCCTCTTCCACCTGTCCTTCTTTCCGACAGACCAAAGGTGGTCTATCCCACCCCTCAGACAGTTTTGCCACATAGCAGTCCCAGTCAGTGGATCGGGGATTCCGAAACCTGCAGGGCTCGCAGTGGGATGCCAGGTTTAGTTGAAAAAGAATATTTATTTTTATTTATTTATTTATTTATTTATTTATTTATTTATGTATTTATTTATTTATTTATTTATTTATTTATTTATTTATTTATTTATTTATTTATTTATTATTATCCCTCTCTTGTTCTGAGCCCTCAACAGGCTTGCGCCCAATTACAGAGTGACCCACATAATGCTTTTTAGAGGTGCCTCTGCAGAAGGTCTTAAGTTGTTCTATACGTAGCCGGCAGAATACTCGAAACTGGTCTAAGGTAATTTCCATCTCTGCCACAGATGAAAAATTCACCTCAACCCAGGTTCGAACACCCGACCTCCGGAATTATAGCCCAACGCTCTACCACTGAACCATAAAGCCGGTATAATATGCCTGTGGTCCGAAAGCGACGGCTCATCAGACACTCTCCAATTCATGTGACCTATTGAAAATGAGCCCAACGTCAGATCGGTGACCTCCTACCACCGCTCTGTGACGAAGGTAGGAACTGCTCCCTGATTTAAAACACTCGTTCAAATAAGTTGTTTGCAAGTACTCCAGAAGGTGGCCGCCCTTCGAGTTCGCGTCCATGCTGCCCCACGCAACATGATATGCGGTTGCATCACAGCCAACCACAAGAGGGAGTCAACTACTTTGACAGTACTCTTATCAACTCAGCCTCTCTCGAGTCGTACTCCGCCACGTGCCTGCTCCGTCCTCTGCCATCTTTCAGTTGAAGTCTTAGAGCTACAAGATCCCTGAACGAGAAATCAGCCATTAGATAAGACTCGATGCGTCTATCGACATAAATGCAAGTCCTTCGGTTCAGTTGGCTGTTCATAACTAACCTTCATTCTTCTTATAACTTGACTTATCTTCGCTCTGTCTATCTTCTGTTTCAAAAATCTTGTCGTAGAAATTTTCATTTCTTCTAATTTTCTGACTATACTTCTTCATTTATCTTCGATAATTCTTCAATAATTTCTACAACTTCTACTCTGCGTTCATCAATTTCTTCTTCACTCAGCAATCCGGAATACGGAGCTAACTCAACTTCACCTTTTCTTTTAACTTCGGTTTATCTTCTTCAATCATCCTCACTTCGTGTACTAACTTCTGATTCATGTCCTTTAATGTCATCGCTTCTTGTTCTTTCTCGTTCTAAAACGGCTTTTTTTGTGTTTTCTTCAGTTTCTCATTAAATTCCTGAGCCCTCAGCAGATCTTCTTTGACTTGAACTTCTTCTAATTTTCACTTCCTATCCCCTCCAACTTCTCTAAAACAGCTGGGTGACTTTCATCTCTTCGTTTTCTTCATATTCTTGAATTTAGTCCTTTAACTGGTTCTACATTTTGAATTAAATTATTTAACATTTCTTCTTTTTTATGATTAACTGCTTTAATTTCTTGCTTATTCTCTTCAAATGGTTTCTTTTTCGGTTCTTTTCTAATTTTCTGATAATAATTTTAAGTGTAGTTAATTAAATAAATGTGTTCTTTAATTCTATGGAAGTTTTAGGAACTAGTGGAGCTCCTGGGCCTCTCCTTCGTAGTTTTCCGGCTGTGGTGATTCATATCTTCTCTGCTCTCCATAATTCATATTCGACCCATAAATGCCTCTTCCTCTCCTGTAATTATTGCAGCTGTTATAAATGTGTACTCAGTTAAGCGGGTGGTTGTGATGCTCCCTTTAAAACGCGAGGGGGAGGGGGTCATTCCCTTGGTCCCTGACGTTGGGTTGCCCCCTTGAGCCAACAAGAAAAAAAAACAGGAAGCCTTGCATTCTGTTCTCCTGATATAAATCATTCGAAAACTCCAAATACTTGCAGGATGTGGGGGTAATGGATTTTGAACAATATGTTAAGAACCGAAGAATCCTCTACCTACACCAAAGTCACGACAGGGGAAAATGTGCCCCACCGATGCGGGGAGTGTGGTGACCCTTTCCTGTTCAGGGTTTCAGCTTCTCATTAAATCTTGATATCATCTCGTTCCTGAGAACTCACTATCTGAATCTGGGATAAGACCGGAAGATTAAGTTTTCTTTACATAAGGCCGAAACTTGAGCTTTCCTTTGGGGTATGCTCTCCTCATACGAAACATCGATACGAATGGTATTGTCATCAGGACAGTTGAGTAAGATTTCAGTAAAGTCAACTCTAACTCGTTTTTGATAAATCAGTATCTGCACCGGTTTTACTTGCATTATATTCTCCTGATACAACTGACATCTAGGAATGACTTTAGCAGATCGAAATGAAGACCTACATCAAATGGAAATATTTTATACTCATTTCCTGATTTCTGATGGAGTAAGATCGGCCTGGTGAATCTGTAGACTCCTGATACCAGCAAATTCCTAAAGAATACTGCTTGTATTAAGAAATGTTCAGTCTACTTTGCGTTATCCTCTCCTGATACCTAACTATTCCTAAAAATGCCGGAGAACTCCTGATACAAAATCGCTTCTTAGAAAATAATATGTATATTCTGGAAAGGTTTTAGCACCAGGAGAGTAGAGTTAAAGGCAGATGTTGATCAATAGACAAATATCTATATTCGTTTTATGTTCTTCTGATATCAACTCGTTTCTAAAATCTGATGGCTGAAGTCTTTCTTGCTGTACACTTTTTTAATGCAAAGCATTTGACGGAAGAACTAAACTACATTATGCTCTGTTGACACAAAACCTTTTCTAAGAATAGAATCAGGAAGCCAGAGCTACGCGAACGTGTAGCTCAAATGACCTTATGTTCCCTTGATGTTAATTTGATTTCGATTCCTTGCATTATACTGTCCTAATCCCTAGAGATACAGCATCTCTAGGAACAATTTTGTGCCAGGAAGCCAGAACTGTTGGTAGCAAGGTGTAGATTAGCATCATGTCTCCTGATACCACCTCGTGTCTATGAAATTAGTAAAACAAGAAACTTATACATTTTGTACATCCTAGGCTCCTGATACAAAACAATATCCAGGAATAGTTTTAAAGAACAGAGCTGCAACAGAAATCATTCAATACCTTTGACTTTCCTATTTGTTTCTGTTTCCTCTTCTCCTAAGCATCATTCTATTTTTTCTCGTTGTACTTTTCCTTTTCCTACCCCATTCAAAAGATTAATTAACAACCTGATTTAACATGAACACATTGAAGACTCTTATTTAGATCTCGTAATTTGGGCCCGATTAATCACAAAACCAATCATTTACAGATGAAAGAAATTTATTTGACGTAAAACAATCAGGAAGAACGAAAAACAAGCACTCAGAATAACACATACCACGCTACAAGCGATTGATAGACATATTTTAATCACCTTAAAGTGTCAATAATCCAAAATCTCCGGCGATTTTCAACAAATGCGCACGAACAGACACATAATGGTAAATTGAACTTCACTTCTGCGATTGGACTTAAACTTCGATTTAATCATTCTGCACCTGTGTTCAATACGGCGATAACAGTCCATGTTTTGAAATTTAATTAGCCTACGCAGTGATAAAAATTCTTCTTATCTACGATCGGAGAAAAACATGAGATAAACAAATTAATCAAAGCAAATTAATATCATTAAATAATTTTGATACAACAGTTTCCTCGAATTCAACCAATATGATCGGATTTGCGTTTTCTTAAACAAATTACCGACCACATTTACGCTTTAAAACATCTGAAATTCACACACAGGGTGTCCCATTGTCATTTCAGGTGCCGAAACTGTATAAAACGTAATTTACACAACAATGAACTGGAATAACGCAATTTATACTGGTTTGGAATGATTGCGAAAGTTTTACTGCCGCACCGGTAGCTTGCTTGCTATTTTATCCTTACAAAAATGTCTTTGTGCAGATGTCAGTTGAGGTCTGGGTGTCCCATATCCCGCGGCGCTACGTTATCCGTAGTACTTCTTAGGAGAAAAGGATCTGATGATGTTTCCTAAAAATAATCATGAGATTTCTGAAGACAACGTTTTATGAAAGAAAGCTACCTGGGGGTTCTGCATAATTATAAAACCGTTCCTCTGCCATTTTCCGAAAACCATCACGAGGGGTCATTGAATATTCCATTTCTGGAGGTATTCCACACCCCCCAGACCCCCCCGTGGTTCGTTCTCTGCAGTACCTCATAGGAGAAGAGGATCTGATGATTTTTTTCCCAACAATAATCCTTCTTCTGAAGATTGAAAGATACCGGGGGGTCTGGGGTATTGCATACCCCCCTAGCATATAAAAGCGTTCCTCTGCCATTTTCAGAAAGGGAGAAGGGATATCGAGTCTTCCTTCCTGAAGATTGAAAGTGTTGTGAAAGAAAGTAACCCGGGGGCCAGGGGAATATGGAATACCTCCCATAATATTATACAGTTCCCTTATACCATTTTCAGAATATCACCATGATGGTACCATGGGAAAAGGTGAAGATTATGGAGAAGGGTTATCGAGCCCGTCTTTACTTTTAATACAATTTTCCACAAACGGCCATTGAATATTACCTACCTGAAAAATTATCGTGAGACTCCTGAAGGTTGAACGTTTTGTGGAAAAAAATACCGGGGGTGTGGAATACCCCCCAGAATACCACATTTCTTCTGCCATTTTTAGAAAACCACCACGAGAGTACTATGGGAAAGGGATGAGGGTTATGGGGAAGGGTTATCGACTGCTTCACTCTTAATATAATTGTTCAGGAACGGTCATTGGATATGCCTTTGCTGGGGGATATTCCATACCCCCCAGACTCCCCGGTAGTACGTCCTCTGCAGCAATTCTGAGGAGAGGAGCAACTGGTGAATTTCTTCCCAAAACTAATCATGTGATTCTTGAAGGCTGAACGTTTTGTGTATGAAAGTAAACCACCCCGGTTACGTCTTAAGGGCGTTCTCAACGGTCTCCCAGATACTGCAAGGACGTTTTGAGAGCCTTCGATTAAATTTTAGCGCTTTCGGGTTTCACTTAAAGCCCGCTTAGAAACCTCAACGTGTTCTTAAACGTCTAACAGTTTCCAAAAGCCTGGATTCCGTTCGTCAATCTGAGGGCTTGAGATCTCAGCACCGAGACTGCATTGAGTAGTGTTCAACCTGTAAGGTGAATGTACTCAATTACCATAATTGAGCATTTTCATCCGATACGATCATATCTAAGCCTACAATAAAACAATTTCGATTTTACGCCCAAAACTAGTGACAAATGCTCTTATCACAAAGTCCGACAGTGGGATCCATGCACTAAAATGTAAAAGGAAGCGCGATGACTAAGAGATTAATGAAAAATCCCCGAACTATGTCTACCGTTTTTGTATCACGGTTTCTACGACACTCCCAGCTGTAGTTCAGGGGAAGGTGCTTGTGTTTAAAACAAGAAAGTGCGAGACGTTTGTAGTGCGCCAAGTGCCATTTTTAGATTAGGTACTTAAGGTATGTCAAATTACTCGACTTGTAGGTGCTATATGAATCATTCGCGATTATTTAAACTATGAATATCGTCAGTCAACTTGTCGTCCTTCATCTAATTTCAATGAACCTTCCTAATTTTATGTATTCGCACTATACTGGAATGAAGTGTGTTCGCTTATAAATCAGCTCATAGCGTATTCAATACTACTAGTATATTTAAATCTGTGCTACTATCCTGATACACATCATTTCTAATTCGGTTTAGTATTCTAACGGTTTAGTATCAGGAGAGAATCTCACGTCCTGCTGATTCAGCTTCGTTTCGAAGAAGTTACATTTTTTTAGTATCAGGAGAGCAGCTGTGGGAGAAGGCTTTGTCCTATGTTCTCTTGATACCAATTCTCTTCCATGAGAGTAGAACTTGCGTCATGTTCTTCTGATGCCAACTCATTTTGAAGAAATTACTTGTTTCTAAAAATAAGAATCTGTAACACTGGAGGCTTGTATTTTGCCCTCCTGATACGAAGCATCCCTTAATACTAACTCGTTCCTAATTAGAAGAAGACGCCTTGAAGTATACTTTCCTAATACAAAGCCATCACTAGGAATGGTTTTAGCATCAAGAAAGTAGAGCTAAAATAAGATATAAGTACTTACCTTTCGTCATATTTTCCTGAAAGCAATTTGATTGCGAGAATTTTCTGTCTCCATCAGAAGAAAGAACTGGATGCGCAACATTCTGTGCTCTTGATATAAAACATTTCGATGGATGATTAAAATTTATTCTGAGGGAGACAGAAATTAGGCAAAATAATTGCTCACGCCTGGTGTTAATAATTTTATGTTCTCCTGATTATCCTTACATTCTGGTCCCTTGATGTAAACCACCTCTAGGCGTGGTTTAAATGTCAGGAGAGCAGAGCTGGGCACTGCTCGCGAGCGTTTCGCTCGAAAAAGCGCTCCAAGCGGAAAAAGCGTTTCGCTCGCTCGCACTTTTTGGAGCGGCCGCTTGGTGCTCGATACTCGAGCGTTTACTTAAAGTGCTTGGCGTTCAAGCGCTTTTTTCCGCTCATGAGCGTTTTTTTCCGTCCTTGAGCGTTTTTTCCGCTCACGAGCACTTTTCCCGAGCACTTTTAGGAGTGCTCGGAACTCGCAAGCGGTTTCGCTTTGCAAAACAACTCGATGCTCGCGAGCATTTTTGAAAAAATTAGAGCGCTCGTCGCTCGAGCGGTTTTTTAGAACGCTCGACCCAGCTCTGCAGAAGTGCATCTGTAACAAGATAAACCCGGTCTAGTCTCCTGATAAAAACTCACCTTTGGAAGTGGAATCTTCTTTGTAATCTGCTCTCCTGATATAAACCATCACTAGGTATACGTACTATAGTGTCGAGGAAGTGGGACTGTAGTAAAATGTACTTGCGTCTGATGTTCTGATACAAAACCATTTCTCCACATTCTCCTGATACCATTTCATGTCCACGAACTTAGTGTCTGTATAGAGACAGTGAACCAAGGGACTTAAGCATTCCCTACAATCCAATCTCCTAATACAAAACCATTATTACTATTACCATCAGGAGAGCAAAACTCGCGGAAGGTTTAGATTATTTGACAAATGCTGGTTTACTTTCAATACTCTCCACTCCAACTGATGCAAAACCATCTTTAACATTGGTTTCAGTATCAGGTGACCAGAGCTCAAGGAACATTGAGGAACAGTCTTATGCCTTTATGTTTTTTTGTTTTCCTGATACAATGCAGTTCTAATCATGGTTGTGTATTAGGGGAGCTGAGCTCTAGGAAGTATACACCTGAACTCTTGATACGAGTTGGTCTCTAAGAATCACAGTATGTATCAGGAGAATAGAACCGGAATCTTATGTCTACATATACCCTCTCATGTTTTCCTGATAGCAATTCAATTGTAAGGACGGTCTGTCTGCGAGGAACTGGAAATTCAGATCTTCCTTGTATTCTGTTCTTCTGATAGTATAGGAATGTGTTAGTGTCTAGATGTTGCAGCTCGTGTCTCATGTTCTCCTGACAGCAACCTAGGAAGCTAGTGTATGTATATACACACGGAAGAATAAACTTCAATACCCTTAACATTCTGGTCTCCTAATACAAACTATTCTCTAGGAGGGATTTTAATATGGGCAGAGCGGCGCTGAAGGATGATTTAGAGTGCTTGATATCCAGTGGCTTCTTGATATCTTCTCGCTTCTAAGAAATTGATGTGTGTATCAGGAGAATAAAACAGGAAGCTCTGATTCTTAGGTTCTCCTGATGCAATTCATCTCTAGTATCAACTTTGGCATCAGGAGACGATGAGATTGAATGACAAATGCGTACACTGATTTCCTGATATCAACTCGTTGCTGAGAAGTTACAGTCTGAAATCTGCTTTTAACTATAGCCTAATAAATAAATAAAAAAAAATAAATAAATAAAATAAAAGATTATGCTCTCCTGATCCAAACCATTTGTATGAATGATTCAAGCGTTCAGGAAGCCGAGTTATAGTAAGATTTAGATCAATCAACCAATACTCACTCGCGTATCATTAACCCCTGATACAACCTGGTTCCTTAGAAAATAACAAATAATTTCTTGGAATCGTTTCTCTACTAAATGTACATTTTGATTAATAAACAAATACCTACACTCGTTGTGTTATTCTGATACTGATTTATTTGTAAGTAATTACTTTTTGTAGAATATAGACATAGAGATCAAAACCTTTTGTACCATGCTTTCCTGATACAAAGATCTTAAGATTGGTATCAAGAAAGTAAATCGGTAAGCTCTCATGCTTGTTACACATGGTTTAGTGTCCAACTGGTAGAACGATATAGGGTTGCTACTCATGTTCTCCTTATACGAACCCTCAAGGAAGTTTCTAAGAAATCCTCCTTGTGTACCGTTCTCCTGGTATAAACCGTTTGTAGACAGGAGAGCAAAACAATAAACTCGCCTGTTATGTTCTCCTGATAACAACTCATTTCTAAAGTGTCTGTATAAAGGCAAAAAACAACAGCTTAAATATTCCTTGGATTTTAGTCTCCTGATACAACACCATCTCTAAAAGAAGCATTAAATTAACTGACACATCGTTTCTTGCATTATGTCTCCTGTTATCTAGCATCTCTAGGAATGCATTTGCATCAAGAGTCTTAGAAGGATTGTGATTAATTAAATATTAGCCACTCGCGTCTCATTGACTAATGATACCCTTTTCTAAGGTTAGAGTCTGCCGTTGCCTTGATACAGACCACTGGTTTTAGTCCCAGGAGAGCAGAGCTGTAAGGATTTATTCCTGATACCAATTCGCTTGTACGAAATTGTACTGTATGTATCAACAGAGTAAAGTAGAAAGTTTAAACCTTTCTTGAGTTATTTTCTCCTGGTTGTTTTCTGCCATCCATTTAAAATTAACCACCCGCGTCTCATTAACTCACGACACCAACTCAATTACTGTATCAGGAGAAGCTTAATATTCCTCAACTTGTGGAACTAGGAATGGCTTTAGCACCAGGAGGGCAGCAGGATCATCTAAAGGAACAGTTGCGTTAATTTACATTGACAGATCCCAATGATTTATGTTCTTCTATTTGCTCGTTTTGAGGCAATTACCGTTTGTATCAAGAGACTCGAACTGGGTGCCAAAATCTTCTGCTCTCCTAAGTTCTAACATAGTGAAGAAAGGTGTGCTTCTCTCCTGATATAAACTCTTTAGGCATGGTGTAGTCTCATGGGAGTAGAATTGCCATCTTTATGATCTCTCACGGAATGGTATTAGAATCAGGAGGACAGAAATGACTCACCCACACGCGCCTACTCTTATGTTCCGGTAAAATCAATTTAAACCTGGGAGTATCACTGCGGGAGGATTTAAAACAGATACCTACACGTTCCTTTTGATCCCCTGTTACTTTTTTTTTACACAAATCATTCTTTGTAGTCCAACATGCTTGCGGAAGACTCGGACGAAGTCGGAGATTTTGGCGATCGCATCCGCATTTTGCCGACCGCCGAACCCGAACGGCGGCGCGACGATCGAGTCGACCCCGCCTACTTCGCCGACGAACGAATTCACATACCCGAATCGGAAAACGTAAGTCGCGACCGAACCTCGACGACCCCGTACGCTTGACCATTTCAGACGAGCTTCAGCTTTCGCAAACTGTGGGCGTTCACGGGACCCGGCTTCCTGATGTCGATCGCGTTTCTCGATCCGGGCAACATCGAGAGCGATCTACAGAGCGGGACGATCGTGCGCTACAAGTTGCTTTGGGTGCTGCTGTGGTCGACGGTGCTCGGATTGCTCGTGCAGAGGCTGTCGGCGCGCCTGGGTGTCGTCACCGGTCTGCATCTCGCCGAGATGTGCTACAGGCAGTACAAGAAGGTGCCCAGAATATGCCTTTGGCTGATGATGGAGGTTGCGATCATTGGATCCGATATGCAGGAGGTCATTGGGACGGCCATCGCCATATATTTGCTGTCCAATAAAGTGTAAGTCCCCTCTGGGGTTACGGGGCCTACATGTCCATTTTCAGGGTACCTCTATGGGCGGGGGTTCTCATCACCATCTTCGACACTTTCACCTTTCTGTTTTTGGACAAGTACGGATTACGAAAGTTGGAGCTGCTGTTCGGTTTTCTAATCAGTGTGATGGTGGTGACTTTCGGTTACGAGTTCTTCGTGGCCAAACCAGACATCTTGCCCATTCTCGAGGGTATGTTTTACCCCTGGTGCTCCGATTGCGACTACTCCGCCTTGTTGCAAGCTGTTGGTATTATCGGTAAGTCAGCTTTTTTTGGGACCTATCGATTGTTTTTTGTCGAAATAGGTGCGATCATTATGCCTCACAATCTCTACTTGCACTCGGCCTTGGTGAAGTCCCGGGACATTGACAGGACCAAACCGGCGAAGGTGCGGGAGGCTAATCTCTATTTCTTTGTGGAGGCTGCAATTGCTATTTTCGTCAGTTTTTTCATAAACTTGTTCGTGGTGGCCGTGTTCGCCCATGGTCTTTTCCAAAAAACTAATCACCAAATTGTAAGGTGCCGTGATCAGGACGTGATATGGTCTTGCTAATTTTCTGATCGTAGGTGGAAAGCTGCCAGCGGTATCCCTTCTTGAACGCATCAACCATCTTTCCGGTAAGTACATACCACTAAGTGCAACAGCGATCGCTTGATTTTCACATAGTATATGTTAAAATAAAGTACGCAACCTGGAATACCCCAATAATACCAACAATTAGCAACTAGCTAGTTACGGCTAAGATTACCAAAAAATAGTAGTAAATAACAACATAATGTAACGTGATTTATAAATTCGGGTTCGATTTATATCAATATTTATTAAACAAAACTAAAACACTATAAAAACTGTACAATTTATATCGACTATTTATATCACACACTTCGCAATTTATATTTCCGCGCTGGATGTTTCATCCGTACTCGATCTCGTTCGGTAGTAAACTCCCTGCGATGTTCGGTCCGCAACCATTTATACACGCAAGCAATGTAAGTCCAGAACACTCGCGTAATTACCGGATAAGTCTCGAATATTCCTATACAAATCCCACTATCGCGCGCGTAGAAAATTCCAGAGCGCCAAAGGCGACGTCATGTCTGGAGCGTTTCCGTTACACTGCCCCCTTCTTAATTCTGGACGTCTCGTTCTGAAACTGCGTTGGTATTACTTTTTAATGCCTCGTGTCGGAATCTGCAGTCAGAGCCTGCTCGACAAACACCTTTCTTGAAAAAGTAACAGTCCATAGTTTTGCGGAGGGTCGTCCCCTGTGGGTTGAAGCAGCATAACTGTAATTCGAACGCTAGTGTTTCTAAAAATCACTTCGATCATGGTTCGCACTATCTTCCAGTCCAACCCATCTAAACAACATCCAATCTTCGGGATCGCCAAGCTATTTATGTCATAGTATGCCATGAGTTTCTTTAAGCTTTTTAAAGCAGACCAGAGGTTTTCATAGGTGGGTTTGCCTTCTGACGTTTTCTTTGAAACCAAGTAGAACAAAGAGCGTTGACTATCTTCCAAGCGCAGTACTTTACCCACTCCGTGGTCTTTGCTTTATCAACTCGTCTATTCTTCCAAATCTTTTCCGGAATACGGAAGCTATACCTCTACCCATGCGAAGGTCTTCGGCGACACAATGGGCGATGGAAACGTTAACCGGAAGCTCAAAAATATTTTGACAAATTTCCTGAGTAACGCCAAATCGAGCTTTCTTCCGCTGGGCGTAATTTGACATAAAATCGTTAAAGTTTGGCTCGATCCCAAAGCTGCGTTCCTCTTCTCGAATACCTCCTAACTTCTTCGTTGTTGTTGGATCCGGCATATCGTGCGAGTCGATTAATGTGGACAACTTTCGGTTTCCGGTGGTTCATTCTGATTCGATACATCACGTCATTTATTTTCTTGATCACCTCATACGGACCTTCCCATTGTCTTTGTAGCTTGGGAGAAAGACCCCTTCGTCTCTGTGGATTGTGCAGCCATACCAGATCTCCAGCTTCAAAAGTTTCATTGGCCGAGCGGAGGTTGTATTGATTTTTCATGCGATCGCTGGCAATCTGAATATGACTTCTAGCCAAGTCGTGAATATCGTTCATCTTCGCCTTTAGTTGGTCAACATAATTTTCACCTGCGACATATTCTACATGGGGTTTACGCCCAAACTCGAGGTCACATGGAAGGCGTAGTTCACGACCCAACATAAGGCAGGCAGGAGTCTGACCCGTGGTCTCGTTGACGGCTGATCGATATGCCATAAGGAACAGGTGAAGGTACTGGTCCCAATTTTTCTGATGTTCTGCCACGACTTTTGAAAGATATTTACCCATCGTTCGATTCATTCTCTCCACCATTCCATCTGACTGAGGATGCAAAGGTGTTGTTCTTGTTTTATTGGCTCCTACCAATCGACAAACATCTTGAAACAAAGCCGATTCAAAGTTCCTTCCTTGGTCTGAATGGATTTCTTTAGGAACACCAAAACGTGTAAAGAACTCCTTTACCAACACTTCTGCAACTGTTGCTGCCTCTTGGTTTGGAATGGCGTAAGCTTCAGTCCACTTTGTGAAATAATCCATAGCCACTAGGATATATTTATTTCCGCCATCTGTCTCTGGAAACGGTCCTGCGATATCGATAGCAACTCGTTCCATCGGACTACCAACGTTATACTGCCTCATGGGTGCCTTCTTCTTGGAAACTGGTCCGTTTCCAGTAGCACATAACTCACATTTTTGACACCATCGCCGGACATCTTCTTTACGGTTGACCAATAGAATCGCTCACGTACCCTTTGCAACGTTTTCGTAATACCAAAGTGTCCTCCGGAAGCGCCGTCATGCAATTTTCGCAATACTTCCGACACTTTGCTTCGAGGTACTACTAATTGCAGCGTCGATTCGGTGCCATCTTCACTTTCAAGGGCCCTATACAACAGGTTGTCTTTCAGAGTCAGGCTATTCCATTGGCCCCAATAACTCTTTACTTCAGGACTTGTGGCACTAATGTCTTGCCAGTCTGGTTTTTGTCCGTGGCGCATCCAATTCAGGACAGTTTTTATACTTGGGTCGTTTTCTTGGGCCGTTTTGATTTCGTTTGGCTTCCATTCCTCACTCTCTACAGTTGTTCGTCGCAGATCGCCAATCTTGTCTTCTATTTTAGAACAATGTGTGCAGTTGTCCTTGCACGGTCTTCTTGACAAAGCGTCTGCATTATTGTGAACTTTTCCAGCCCTGTGTTCAATGTCGTAGTCATATTCCTGAAGACGTTCTAACCATCTTGCCACCTATCCTTCTGGGTTTCGGAACTGCAAGAGCCACTTTAGCGCTGCATGATCTGTCCTTATCAGGAACTGGCGGCCGTAAAGGTACTTATGGAAATGTTCGCATGCCTTTACCACACCCAGGAGCTCTCGCCTAGTCACACCATAATTCCTCTCGGGTTTCGACAGTACTTTGCTGAAATAGGCAATGACTCTTTCCTGTCCGTCTTGCAATTGAGAGAGAACAGCTCCAATGGCGGTGTTACTGGCATCGGTATCTAGCACAAACTTCCTTCATTTCTGGGGTAGCCAAGGATAGGTGCGCTAGTAAGAGCTTGCCGGAGATGTTCGAAAGCTCTTTGACAGTCTTCACTCCATTCGTACTCATTGCCCTCTTCTGTCAACTTTATTAATGGTTTGGCAATGTTGGCAAATCCTTTCACGAATCGTCTATAATAGGTGCACAAACCGAGGAAACTTCGAATCTCTTGCTTGTTCTCAGGAATCGCCCACTCTTGAATCGCTATAATCTTCTCTGGGTCAGCTGTAACACCATCACGAGATACGATGTGCCCCAAATATTTAACTTCTTTTTGGAACATAAAGCATTTCTTGGGACATAGTTTTAAATTGGCCTCTCGTAATCGTCCAAACACCTCTCTCAGGTTCTTTAGGTGTTCTTCAAAAGTTTTTCCTACGACAATTACATCATCCAAATATACCAGACATGTCTGCCACCAAGGACTATTCGATGGCTCGATGACACCTTGTTTTCTCATGTCTCTAAAAATCTCCTCACCTTCGTCTCGTTTAGCCAATGGGAGTCGCCTTGGCTGTTGTCTAATCGGTTGGGAATTGCCAGTATCTATTTTATGGGTGACTATGCTTGTCTTTCCCTTGTCCTGGTCGTTTACCGCGAACACATCTCGGAATTCCACAAGCATATTTTTCACCTTTTGTCGTTGTCTATTGTCCAAATCTGGGGTGTTTTTCATGACCATATCTATCAGCTCTCTTGGATACTTTCCTTTAGATAGATTTTCCGATCTCACAGAGCGAATAGCCGAGATGGGCACACACTGTCCAACTACAGTTCGTTTGCTTAGCTTAACAGGACTATCTTTCAAATTCATAATTCGAATCGGAACGCCATTTTGAACTTTTTCCAGAGCCCTAGCCACTAGAAATTCCTTTTCGTTTAGTGCTTCGACTATCCGTAGGCTTCCCTGGCGACAATATCCATCTAAAGTGGTCATTATAATTTTTTCACTAAGTCCGGGTATAATGACGTCATGAGTGGTTACCAGGCGGATGACATCTTCTTTGTCTTCATGGAAAGGGAGTTCTTCATCGCCGACCTTTAACACGCCCTTTTTCACGTCTAACACAGCTCCGAGTTTCTTAAGAAGATCCATCCCCAAAATGAATTGATCAGAAATATCAGCAATTAGCACCTGGTGATTGATGGTGGTCTTTCCGATGGTGACAGACATTTGTATTTCTTCGTGCGTTTTTATTCTTTCACCAGTTGCTGTTCTTAACTGCACGGTCGAAGATGAGATCCGAGAATGATTCTTCAATAACTCTGGTCTTGCAATAGTTCTTGTTGCACCTGTGTCTACTAGCAAGGATCTGTCGTCTCCATTAACTCGGCCGTCGATGTACAGACTCAGAACTTTTCCAGACGACGTAATGTTTACAGTGAAGATCGGGGCTTTGTTTCTGCAGGTCGACGATAGCCCCTTCCTGTCGACCTTTCTTAGTTTTCCGGCTGCTGCAATGGCTTTTTGGCAGTTGCGGCGAACCTGTCCAATCTCGCCGCAATTCCAACATCGTGGTTCACGTTTCTTTGCCAGTGACTGTATTGCTTTATTGACCTTTTCTTCCACTACTTTACTGACCTTTTCTTCAAAACTTTCAGAGCCACCTTCCTCTTCGATGGTTCTTACCCGGCACTCACTGCGAGGTTCCACCATACGTACTCGCGCACTTCCATGAATAGCTTTCTTGGCGGCTTCGAATTCTAACGCATGGGCCAAAGCTTTTTCAATTTTGTCGTGCCTAGCCAGTCTCAAAGCCTGCTGGGCATCTCCATCACGAACGGCATCGATAAATGTTTGTACAGCCAGTTGATCAAGAAAGCTCTCCGGTGCCGTAGGGTTTGCCAATCGAATCAGTCTAGCGATGTCCGCTTCAAGTTCCTGCAAACTTTCTCCAGGTTTCTGCATTCGGTTCTTGACTTGGGCATAGTAAACTTGCTGAAGGTGTTTATCGCCATATCGCATTTCGAGTCGCGCTACTATTTGTTGGAAGTTCTGTTGATCCTCGGGAATGGTCCGCAACACATCCAGAGCATCTCCTCTCAGAGCAAGAATCAGGGCTGTAGTTTTGTCTTGAAGAGTCCATTTATTTGCCGCAGCCGCTGCTTCAAACTATCGAACGTACGTGGTCCAAGGAATCTTACCATCAAAAGTAGGTGGCTTTACTCGGGCTTGCTGAACGTCGCCTTCTACTCTTGTATTTGTTTCTGGGTCGACCTTCTTGTAATGAGTAGGCTGTGGCACCTCAAGAAGACGGTCCATCAGTAATTCATCTGGGGCACTACTAGTACGCTTTTTCGTAGTCAGTCGCAAGAATTGCTCGCGCAGCTCTTCATACTTGTGCTCAATCTCAACGAATGATGCTTTAAATGTTTTGGAAACTTCCGTAATTCTATCTTCAACTTTTTCTTCAATTGATTTAGAGACTTCTTCGATAATCTTTCTAGAATTTTCTTCCATTTTCTCGAACTTCCCTTCAAAATTTCTAGAATTTTTTTCCATCTTTTCTTGGTTGCTTTTCATTTCTTGTTGCAACACCTGTTGGCCATTTTGGATTTGATGGAGCAACTTGAGCATCGTTTCTTCCATTTTACCGGCAGCAGATCGTGTTACAGGCATACACAAGCACAAGCACTTAATTTAATCTTACTTTTAATTAATTTCATTAACCCCACACCAGACACCAATGTAACGTGATTTATAAATTCGGGTTCGATTTATATCAATATTTATTAAACAAAACTAAAACACTATAAAAACTGTACAATTTGTATCGATTATTTATATCACACACTTCGCAATTTATATTTCCGCGCTCGATGTTTCATCCGTACTCGATCTCGTTCGGTAGTAAACTCCCTGCGATGTTCGGTCCGCAACCATTTATACACGCAAGCAATGTAAGTCCAGAACACTCGCGTAATTACCGGATAAGTCTCGAATATTCCTATACAAATCCCACTATCGCGCGCGTAGAAAATTCCAGAGCGCCAAAGGCGACGTCATGTCTGGAGCGTTTCCGTTACAATAATGTCAGAAACTATCAGGTATCACCAAAATAACACGTGAGAATACCAGAAGAATACCAGGAAATACCAATTTAAAAAATACCACAGTAACGAAACACTGTCTAAGAAAACCTGAAATCACCAAATACGTATTACCATTTCATCAAGAAAATACCATAAAAGTATCGGAAAGCGAAGACCATTTCGGGAAAATTGTGTTGAAATAAAGAAGGCATCGATAACGTTTTCCCTATAAACCTCAGTAGCCCCTTATTATTTTGGAAATGGTAATAGACCTGTTGTCTACTAGGGAGTATTGGAATACCCCCAGACTTGATGGTAACACTTTCTTCCACAAACCATTTAATCATCGGGACTTGATTGAGAGTTCTGGAGATCTCAGATCCTTTCAAGAAGAATCCCCAATTTAAAGAAACCAATGACGGCAATTAAAATTCCATGCGTTCTCAACTAACGCCATAAGTTAAGCGGGTACCAATCATATCTTTCCAGGATGACGATCACTATGTCGACGCCGACATCTACAAGGGTGGCATTTTCTTGGGCTGCACCTTCGGAATTGCCGCCCTCTACATATGGGCCGTGGGCATTCTGGCGTCCGGACAAAGTTCGACGATGACAGGTAAGTTTTCGCCGGCCGGGCACTCGATCGAGCCGTCACCGAGCTTAACCCCGCAGGCACCTACGCCGGCCAGTTCGCGATGGAGGGTTTCCTGAACCTGCACTGGGTCCGTTGGAAGCGCGTCCTGCTGACTCGAAGTATCGCCATCGTTCCGACTTTCTGCCTCGCGTTCTTCAGCACGATTCAGAACTTGACGTCTTTTAACGATATTCTAAACGTGGTCATGAGCGTGCAGCTGCCCTTCGCGCTGATCCCCACAATTGCGTTTACGAGCAACGTGGAAATTATGGGCGAGTTTGTCAATGGAATGTAAGTGTCGCGCTCGAATTGCGTGGGAATAACTTGAATTTTAGCGGGAATATCCTCATGGCCATTCTCACTAGTTTGGGTATCGTAGGACTTAATACCTACTTCGTTTTGGCGACAATTGCTGGATTAGATATGACTTGGTACTATTGGCTGCTGTTTGCAGTCGTGGCCGTGGTGTACACACTATTTTGTATCTACCTCACTGTGCACATGGTGATATTTATGGGAGCGAAGAGGTTAATGAATTATCCGATAATCAATAAATACGTTTGGGGACCAAGCATTGATGCACAAGGAATGCCGTAAGTCCAAGGCTGCCATTCCTGTCCCATACTCCCTCTTGCACTTCTGTTCCCACCAACACCCGTTCCTACTCCCTGTTCACACCCAACTCCCCCGTTTCCACACGATCATGTACCCCTGTCCCCAAGCACTTCTGCTCCCACCCATCTTGGACTCAACCTATGTTCCCACACACTCCGATGTTTACTCGCTCCTGTTCACTATAATTTCTGCACTTTTCTAACCTTTTCGTAATTGCAGATGGACTCTACTACGTTCCTAACAGCCATTTTCCGATGACTATTAGTATTAGTACACATATTTGTATTTTTTGGTATTAAACTTCGAGAAAACTTAATCTACGTTATTGACAAAGTAACCCTGACCATTTTTGAACCTCCTTGCTTTTTGTACTCCTGATACACCAATCACAGATATACCTACTTTGCGCATATGTGTGCAACAATTACACAGGAGACTTACCTTAGGCGCATATAGCGCATGCATGATAAGCTACTCATACGTTTACATTCTGTACTCCTGATAAAATTTAAAAAAAACTTACCCAAAGTACCCAATACCTCAACTAGGATCGCGCTAATTTATTTAAAGTTTTGCGGGATCCCGCAAATACCGGGATCCCGCGGGATTAACATCTAGCAATCCCCCAAATACATTCTGTAAGAAAATTTTTTTTCCGGATCGATCTGAGACAATTTTTTTCGTGGCTCAAAAAAAGGCAGTGTATAACCTTCCTTTTTTACCAAAAATCGACTGCACCAAAATTTCTCGGGAAAACCCTTTTTCTTATTAATTTTGGTGCGTAGAATCCAAAACAATTCGTACTTTTTCGATCAGACTTCTCAATCAAAAGTTATAGACTAGAAACCAATTTCGAAAGAAAAATCAAAGGGCTGTAACTTTTGAACTAGTAGCCCAATCTTGGAACTGTTTGAAGTTATGGATTCTACAGGCCACATTCTATAAGAACATTGTTCTTCCGGATCGATCAGAGACAATTTTTTTTTCGTGGCTCAAAAAAAGGTAGTGTATAACCTTCCTTTTTTTTTACCAAAAATCCACTGCACCAAAATTCCTCGGGAAAACACTTTTTCTTATTAACTTTGGTGCGTAGAATCCAAAACAATTCGTACTTTTTCGATCAGACCTCTCAATCAAAAGTTATGATTAGAAACCAATTTCGAAAAAAATTCAAAGGGCTGTAACTTTTGAACTAGTAGCCCAATCTTGGAACTGTTTGAGATTATGGATTCTACAGGCCACATTCTATAAGAACATTGTTTTTCCGGATCGATCAGAGACAGTTTTTTTTTCGGGGCTCAAAAAAAGGCAGTGTATAACCTTCCTTTTTTACCAAAAATCGACTGCACCAAAATTTCTCGGGAGAACACTTTTTTTTATTAATTTTGGTGCATAGAATCCAAAACAATTCGTACTTTTTCGATCAGACCTCTCAATCAAAAGTTATAGACTAGAAACTAATTTCGAAAAAAAATTCAAAGGGCTGTAACTTTTGAACTAGTAGCTCAATCTTGGAACTATTTGAAATTATGGATTCTACAGGCCACATTTTATAAGAACATTGTTTTTCCCGATCGATCAGAGACAATTACTGTTGGTACGATAATACATTTTCTGGCAGACAGAGTACTCACTCAAGAGTCAGTGCTTTTGCATCTGCTTGGATTCTGCGTTCCTGTTACAACATTTTTCAGAGAGGTTTACTATATTCTGTATTCCTGATGAAAAACGAAGATTTGGCGCACGTAGTTCCCAAAAAACTACGCACTCGCTTGCAAGTAGTATTCATGGTCAACAATTAAAAAAAAAGTTTACTCGAAGTGTTTTTTTCACCTCTTGGCATTCTGCACCCTTGATACAACAGGAAACTAAGCTCTGGCTAACACAGTACTTATTCAAAGAGGTGTTTGTCAATACTGTTGCATCTATTCGCATTCAGCGTTCCTATTACATCATTTTTAAGAGAAATTTGCTGCATTCTGTTTTCCTGATAGGAAATTTTATAAGAAAAACTTACCTTTGGTGCACAGTGCACACAATTGCCAATAACTTTAATTAACCTCAGTACGTCCTCGAGTTGGTTATTATTGCGTCTGCTTGCATCCTGTTACAACATTTTTAAGAGACATCTACTACATTCTGCATTCCTGATAACAAATTTTATAAGAAAAACCAAGATTTGGAGCACGCAGTGCCCAATAACTATGCACTCGTTTGCACTCAGTATTCCTGGTCAACAATTTAAAAAGTTTACTCGAAGTGTTTTTTTCACCTCCGCTGGCATTCGGCACCCTTAATACAACAATATAAAAAAGAAACTAAGCTCTGGGGAAGACACCACTTTCTCAACGAAGTATTTGTCAATACTATTGCATCCCGTGTTCCTGTTACAACAATTTTAAAAGAGGAACTCACATTAGGCGCACATAGTTCCCAATGATTATGGACACGTTTGAATTCTGTATGCCTGATGCGACAATTTTAAAGGGACAGATTTTGCATCACTTTGCATTCTGTACTCCTGATTAAACAATGAAGGCGTCTCTTATTCATTTTTGCACCTCCTCGGATATTCATCAATTTTAAAATAATTGCCTCAAGCTTGGAGCTAGGCGTTTGGTCTTCTCGAGTGAACGTAGTGCCTGTGCTTATCAATGTTTCTATCTTTTTTTAGATTCTGCATTCCTGATGCATTTATTTTTATAGGAGAATCGCGTGTCAGGAGAACATGGTAGGTAATTTGGTTCTTTTTCACTGTCTTGCTTCTCTGATGTCGTCCTGATGAAATATCAGGGGACGCGTGTTACGTACCCTGTCATTATCTTTGGCACCACATTGCAATCTGTGATTGTGATACTCTCAGTATGTGCTCTCTTGGATATTAGGAGACCATAATACGCAAAAGGTGTTTTGCTTCCTTTCTGGACCATTTTAGGTAAACCATTTATAAGTCTCTCGGCCAGTGTTAATGGTCGTTTCAATCTGTCTTACTTTTGAACGGACCTGTGCTCCTGGTAGGTTCGAGCAACGTTATTTTTATTTGCTAATGGAGTACAATTCTGCAATCAATACACGACGGAGTTACACTTTCGTATTGAACGTAGGCGAATCCGCCACTGGTTCTACTAAAACGTACAGTAACATCTACGACACTGCATGCCGTCCCCTTCCATCGAAACCACACCTCCCCAACGGCCTTGGTACTCATTCTCTTTACAAGCTAAAAATAGAACAAGTCTGTTTTATCGTATGATTCATTCATGTTTTATAAACATAATTAGTGTTCCCATCCTTGCTACGGGGGGTTAATGTGCATTTTCCTGGAGATTTAGTGTTTTTTCGCTATTGATCGGTAAGTGCTTGACCTATTCTCCATTTGCTTTTGTACGCTTTTGTATTGCGCACAGATAATTTCGAGGATAAATTTAAAGGTTATTTAATTGAAGAGGTATCGCAATTAGACATTCACCTGTATGTAGTTACCGGGGTTGTTTGGAAAGTAGCTTGGTTTAATCGCCCGCTTATAGGTGGCGTTGGTGGCCTGCTAGTTAAATTACATGGTAGCGACCCAAAAGTCGTTCACTTTGTTCGAAACTTTGAAATTGACCAAATTTTTAATTTTAAAAAAATCAAAAATTCCAGAATAATTTCCTCACTTAATTAGCACCTAATTATAGTTAGTTTACTTTTCATTTTCTTGGTTTTTTGAGGTAGATTTCTGCTGAGTTCATATGAACCTGGCAAAACATGTAATAATTTTTAAAAAAAGGAGCATTTAATTCGGTGATAAGGCACTTAATTAGCACCTAATTATAGTTAGTTCACTTTTCATTTTCTTGGGTTTTAAAGGTAGTGTACTGCTGAGTTCATATGAACCTGGCAGAACATGTAATAAATTAAAAAAAGGAGCATTTAATTCGGGGATAGGGCGCTTAATTAGCAGCTAATTAGCACCTAATTATAGTTAGTTCACTTATCATTTTCTTGGTTTTTGAGGTAGGTAGATTTCTGCTGAGTTCATATGAACGTGGCAAAAAATGTAATAATTTTTAAAATAAAGGAGCGTTTAATTCGGGAATAGGGCCATTAACTCGGCCATTAATTAGCACCTAATTGTGCAATTCACATCGCCTTTTTTTTCTGGGGGGTATTCCAGCCCCCCGCCTATATGTACATTCTTCCCCAACTACTTACTTACATCAAAATTTCTGAAAATAGGCTGATCGTTTTGAAAGTGAAATCACTACCAGCGAGTAAAGGGGGGGGGGGGGGGTATGGAGGACTAAAATTATTAGGGTCAGAAAACAGCTAAACCATCTATATTTATTGGGAGACACCTGTTTTTAAAATGGTGCCCTCATGACACAAAATGTCTCTTAAAAAGGGAAACTGTGAGAATAAACGGGGAACTTGAAACGTGGGGAGGGAAGTGGGAAGCGAAACGGTGAACAGGAAATAGAAGCCGTAGCGGGAAGTGGTAACGGAAAAGATAACGGAAAACTTGGTAACAGAAAACGGCGACGGAAAACGGTAACGGCGATTGTTAACTGGAGACGAATGCCGAGAAGCGGGATACAGAAAACGAGAATCGGCAAACGGAAATGCGGAGGGGGCGATAGAAGCGGGGGGTGCAAGTGGGTAGCGGGAAACCGCAAATGAGAAGTAGGAAACGGGGAACGAGGAAAGCGAAACGGTAACGAGAAAAGTAACCGGAAACTGTAACCGGTGATTTGGAAGCGGTAAGCGAAGTGGGGACAGGTACGAGAAACCTCGTGGGAAATAGTCGGACGGGAGTGGTGAACACGAGAACTGCGAAGGTAACCGAGGAACTTGAAACGGAGGTCGGTAGCGTGAATCTAAGATCGAAACGGTATGAGGAAAGTAGTAATGGGAAACGGTAACGGAAACAGGGACCGTTGATGGAAGGCGAATAGCAAGATACGGGAAACGAGTGGCGAGAAACAAGAAATGGGAAACTTTATGGGAGCCGGATAATGAAGGCTGGAAAATTGAACTGAGAAACACAAACAGAAACTGTTGACGGCAATGTGTACCTGGAAAAGGAAACGGTGACCGGGAACCGGTAAACGCGAAGTGGAAACCAGGACGCGGAGTTCAGAAGGGTTAAGCGAAGCGAGAGACAGAAACGGGAAACCGTGGATTTTTAAGTGTCTAACATTTTCCCTCTCTTAGAGGTTTTAGGGTTTCCATGTTCTCAAGGCCTCCAAAGCTTCTAAGGTTTTTATCTTCTGAAAAAGCTTCGACGTTAAGGCTATAATATTTTATCACTGCAAAGTTGCAAGGTTTAAAGGGTTTAAGGCCCCGACACTCCAAGGCTGAGGTGTCCCAAAACTTCAACTCTTTAGGATTTCAAGAATTAAGTTTTCTGTATTTCTAGGTTTTGAAGGTATTATAGACTGCATGGTCTTAAGGTCTTTTAGGTACCAAGGCTTCAAAGCCCAAAAATCAAGACATAAAGGAATTCAGTGCTTTCAACTACTCCAACAATCACAACAACCTTTCAGTTTTTAAGGTTTCCAGGCTTTAACGCCACAGGTGCATGGCTCAACTATTTTAAACCTTTAAAATGTCATTGTATAAAGGCCCGGAGAAGGGCTCCAAGTGTTTTAAGACTTTGAGAGTCAAGCTCAACAATTAAAAGGTCTTCTAAAAAAAGAATACCTCCCAGCAAGATATATATTCAAAGTAAAGAAGAACTTCATAACCCTTCCTCATCACACTGATCTTTTTCCTATAGTACCCTGGTGGTGGTTTTCTGAAAATAGCAAGGGAACTGTCATGAATATGTAACCGAGGGGTCTGGAATACCCCCCAGCATATACGATAGTCCGCTAGCTATTTTCAAAAAACCAGCACGAGGGTACCTACCATAGGAAAGAGGTGGGGGTTATGGAGAACGATTATGGAGTACTTTTAATGTAATTCTCCAGAAGTGGTCATTTTATCTTCCCCAGACCCCCCGAAAACTTTCTTCCACAAAACGTTCAGCCTGTAGGAATCTTATGATTAATTTTGGGCAAACATCAGATCCTCTTTTTCTAAGAAGTACTGCAGAGAACGCCACCGGAGGGTCTGGGGGTACTGAAGACTCCCACGTTAGCTTCATTCCCACATCAACTAATGTACTGTGTACCTGGAGGGGATGTAATACCCATCGGCATGGGAAGATTCAATTACCATTTCCGGTGATAACCCTTCCCCATCACCCCCACCCTTTCTTATTGTACTCTCGTGGTTTTCTGAAAATAGCAAGGGAAATGTCTCATATGCTGGGGGGTATTCCATATCACCCAGGCCCCCCGGCAACTCTTCCACAAAACGTGGAAAATTATATTAAAAGTAAAGAACTCGATAACCGTTCCCTCTAACACCCATCCCTTTCCTATGGTAGGTACCCTTGTGGTGGTTTTATGAAAATAGCAAGGGAACTGTCGCATATGCTGAGAGGTAATCCAGACGGGTCTGTTAACTTGCCCCCCCCCCCCACTGAGAGATTTCATAGTTGTATTATTTTGAAATGAATGCGCTCGTTATGCGCTCATATGCGCTACCGATAATAACTCTTGCGCCATTATCGTTTTTTAGAAATCCGAAAAAACATTGGGGGGGGGCAAGTGAACGTACCCCCCCCCCCCCCCGTACTTATTTTGTTCCTTGTAACTAGGTCACCTGATACATTTGGGTATGCGCTCAATTGCGCCACTTGAATTAAAGCTAGCGCCATTACGGTTAAGCCGTGACAAATTTTCAAAAAGTGGGGGGGGGGCAACTTAACGTTTTTAAAAGTTATTTCCGGAAGTGCGTCCATTTTGAAAATATTTTACATCGATTCGGCCTTCGGAGTAACTCCTAAATACAAATTTTTAAAAACTTACCTATTTTACTTTCTCAGAATCGTTTAACTACAGCTTCCAAAAAAACACCCTGTATAGTGTTTCTGAAACACTATAATGGCGCCAAGATTTTTGTTTACGGCGCATTTTAGCGCATGATGAAAGGTACCATGTAGTAGAAAAAACATGTTAAAAAACGTAACTTTTGAAAACGTTAAGTTAGCCCCCCCCCCACTTTTAAAAAATTTTTTATGGCTTAACCGTAATGGCGCTAGCTTTAATTCAAGTAGCGCAATTGAGCTCATAACCAGATGTATCAAGTGGCACAAATACCGGTAGCAAAATGCGTTATGGGGGATTCCGTTCACTTGGCTCCCCCCCAAATATATTTAAGGATAACCAAAAAACAATAATGGCGCAAAGATATCTTTTTACGGCGCATTTCAGCGCATACCTGAGAGTACAATTTCGTATGAAAAGATGTTAAAAAAAAGTAACTTTTAAAAACGTTAAGTTGGCCCCCCCACTTTTTGAAAATTTGTCACGGCTTAACCGCAATGGCGCTAGCTTTAATTCAAGTGGCGCAATTGAGCGCATAACCAAATGTATCAGGTGACCTAGTTACAAGGGACAAAATACGTACTGGGGGGGGCTACGTTCACTTGGCCCCCCCCCAAATGTTTTTTCGGATTTCTAAAAAACGATAATGGCGCAAGAGTTATTATCGGTGGCGCATATGAGTGCATAACGAGCGCATTCATTTCAAAATAATACGACTATCAAATCTCTCAGTGGGGGGGCCAAGTTAACGGACCCAATCCAGACCCCTCGGTAACTTTCTTCCACAAATCGTTCAGCGTTTAGGAACCTCACGATTATTTCTGGGAAAACATCGTCAGAACCTCTTCTCCTACGTAGAACTGCAGAGAACGTACCACCGGGGGGGGGGGGGGATTTTGAACTTACAGTAGTTTCTTTCTTAATAAATCAATCTATTGCCTACATAAATTACATTTGATGCACACAGAAGCTAATCAGAAATCGAGTCATCGCTGCAATTGGAACTGCTCGATCTGATGTCGCCCTCGATGCCTCCCGCATACAAGGAGTTGTACGCTATTTTTAATATCAGATACGTCCAGAATATATGAAGTGCCAGCAGTGACATCAGGAGTCCGTTCAAGATGTGATACACCGGAAACATCGGCATGGTTGGGGGGTTCTCGATCAGCGTGTTTCGAAGTATCCAAAAGGGGAAGGCGCCGAGGCGCGTCGCGAACCACACGAGCGTGAACATTGCGAAAATCGCGTCGCACGTCTTCTGGTAGCCGGAGTACTTCGCCATCTTCGCGGCGTCCAGGAAGATGTCGGCGGAATCGTGGACGATTAGTACCAGACTTCCGATTCTGTGCATGTTAGTCATCCAGGAGAGCGACATCAGGGCGATAGTGGCGACGTGGTGGCCGAACATCTGCCAGAAGTCCTTGCGTTTCCTGTCGAAGAATTGGCTTAAGCAAAGCGACCAGTAGAAGGCCAGGGAGATGATGTATTGGCACCATATACCGATATCGATGCTCTGGTGAGGGTAGTTGAACCTGAAATGATCATAACAGCGTGGGAGCCAAAAATTCTTCAAAACTCACCAACACTGGCTAATGTCCCAAAACCACGGCTTATTCCACAAGACTACCAGACCTAAAAGGAAACTGCTGACGTAGTACAGGCATCGCCAGCTATTCTCGCAAAATTTCATCAAAGTCGACGGTTGATCTTGACTTCGACGTAAGCGTAACCATCGCTCCACCTTTCGATCGGGCCAGTCCAGCTGCTTGGCCAACCCCTGAATCTGAAGAGACAGTTTGATCCACTCCAACCCCAAATCTCCCACTCACTTGTTTATTGTTCACCCGCTTGTAACGCATGTACGCTCTCTCCAAGACGGCGTTTGGTGGAGCCGTCTTCGATCTGTACTCCTTCATTCCAATCGCCACTCCTAATGGAGCAAACCACTTGCTGGAAGATGCTCACTTAGATCTGCGAATTGTTAGAGAAAAGACTCACTGCTCGAGATAGTATCGCAATGCCAACATTAGAAAGGCGAGCGGAATTGGAATGTACAGATGCTTCGGGTTGGAATATCGGATTGTGTCACTGGAGCCCGGGGCTATGTCTTTCCATGTTGTGTTCGGAGGCAACCAAACGTGTTCATTCCAAAATCCATCCATTATACCGCGCAACACTTCACCGTGCATTTTTTCCAATTGGAAATCAGTAAAAACAATGGAGTAGATCCGTGAAAACGCAGTCACTCACTCTACAAGGGGTTTTTTCAATTAAGTAACCGCAGATTTGTCGTTTCCGATATTGCGTAAATTAATTAGCGATTATCGTTTCATGGTGATCCAATTTTCGTCTCGTCTACGCGTTTCTTTTCTTCCATCTCTGTCTTTGGTGTCGTTTCAGAAGTTTCGAAATCTTCGGAAATGGACATGTAGAGGGAAATATGTAGAAATTATGCTGCATTTTGATTGATCTCCTTCTGTTTCATTTTGACCACAGCATATGGCGCCAATAGATTTATGTGAACTACCATCATTTTTCGCCTCGCTGTCTTTTGGGATGCGGCAGATCAAATCAATTACATTCATAAGTCTAATCGGGGGTTTTCGTCTATTGTCGATCACCACCAGAACTTTTTGGCCAACTGGAACTTCCTCATTACCAACGTGAAGCACTCCATTCTTCAAAGTCCATTTCCAAGATCATCTCATCCGCGATAGCAGCCACGAGCACTTGATCCTTACGGGAATTGAATCCAATACTAACGTCCATCACAAAGAATAACACGAACACGAAACCCCCCAGCCGAGCCCCCAGCAATCCCAAGTAAGAAAGACCACCAGGTTAGGAAGATTCGACGTAATACTAGTTCACTGAATTTTTCTGCCTCGAAATGTGTTCCTGGGGAGTACTCCATACCTCCCAGACAATTTTCAAGGGCGGTCCGGTGAATACGAATATCTTATGGTGAATTCGGTGAATTTCTCTTTTATGATAATACCAGTTTAGGGTAATACCAGTGTTGAGGAAGTTTCACTGAATTTTTCGTTTGGGTTCGCTTATGATTCATAAGAAATGCAACTCCCTGAATATTGGTGTGTCGCTTTGTAATCGAAAGTAATTAATTGGGCGGTAAAGTACCTACCGTAATGCGCCAGAGTACTAGCTCTGCACGAGCGGATATCTCTCTTTCTCAGGACCAGTGGGCTAATAGATAATACCCTGGCTGTAACTTTTTTACTAGTAGCCCAATCTTGGAACTGTTTGAAATTATGGATTCTACAGGCCACATTCTATCAGAAAACTTTTTTTCCGGGTCGATCTGAGACAATTTTTTTTTTCGGGGCTCAAAAAAAGGCAGTGTACCTTCGTTTTTTACCAAAAATCGACTGCACCAAACTTTCTCCGGAAAACACTTTTTCTTATTAATTTGGGTACGTAGAATCCAAATCAATTCGTACTTTTTCGATCAGACTTCACAATCAAAAGTTATAGACTAGAAACCAATTTCGAAAAAAAATTCAAAGGGCTGTAACTTTTGAACTAGTAGCCCAATCTTGGAACTGTTTGAAATTATGGATTCTACAGGCCACATTCTATAAGAAAATTTTTTTCCGGGTCGATCTGAGACAATTTTTTTTTCGGGGCTCAAAAAAAGGCAGTGTATAACCTTCCTTTTTTACCAAAAATCGACTACACCAAAATTTCTCGGGAAAACACTTTTTCTTATTAATTTGGGTGCGTAGAATCCAAATCAATTCGTACTTTTTCGATCAGACTTCTCAATCAAAAGTTATAGACTAGAAACCAATTTCGAAAGAAAATTCAAAGGGCTGTAACTTTTGAACTAGTAGCCCAATCTTGGAACTGTTTGAAATTATGGATTCTACAGGACACATTCTATAAGAACATTTTTTTCCGGGTCGATCTGAGACAATTTTTTTTTTCGGGGCTCAAAAAAAGGCAGTGTACCTTCGTTTTTTACAAAAAATCGACTGCACCAAACTTTCTCCGGAAAACACTTTTTCTTATTAATTTGGGTACGTAGAATCCAAATCAATTCGTACTTTTTCGATCAGACTTCACAATCAAAAGTTATAGACTAGAAACCAATTCCGAAAAAAATTCAAAGGGCTGTAGCTTTTGAAATAGTAGCCCAATCTTGGAACTGTTTGAAATTATGGATTCTACAGGACACATTCTATAAGAACATTTTTTTTCCGGATCGATCAGACAATTTTTTTTTCGGGGCTCAAAAAAAAACAATGTATAACCTTCCTTTTTTACCAAAAATCGACTACACCAAAATTTCTCGGGAAAACACTTTTTCTTATTAATTTGGGTGCGTAGAATCCAAATCAATTTGTACTTTTTCGATCAGACTTCTCAATCAAAAGTTATAGACTAGAAACCAATTTCGAAAGAAAATTCAAAGGGCTGTAACTTTTGAACTAGTAGCCCAATCTTGGAACTGTTTGAAATTATGGATTCTACAGGCCACATTCTATAAGAAATTTTTTTCCGGGTCGATCTGAGACAATTTTTTTTTTTCGGGCCTCAAAAAAAGGCAGTGTATAACCTTCCTTTTTTTACCAAAAATCGACTACACCAAAATTTCTCGGGAAAACACTTTTTCTTATTAATTTTGGTGCGTAGAATCCAAAACAATTCGTACTTTTTCGATCAGACTTCTCAATCAAAAGTTATAGACTAGAAACCAATTTCGAAAAAAAATTCAAAGGGCTGTAACTTTTGAACTAGTAGCCCAATCTTGAAACTGTTTGAAATTATGGATTCTACAAGCCACATTCTATAAGAAAAATTTTTTTCCGGGTCGATCTGAGACAATTTTTTCTTCGGGCCTCAAAAAAAAGGCAGTGTATAACCTTCCTTTTTTACCAAAAATCGACTACACCAAAATTTCTCGGGAAACACTTTTTCTTATTAATTTGGGTGCGTAGAATCCAAATCAATTCGTACTTTTTCGATCAGACTTCTCAATCAAAGTTTATAGACTAGAAACCAATTTCGAAAATAAATTCAAAGGGCTGTAACTTTTGAACTAGTAGCCCAATCTTGGAACTGTTTGAAATTATGGATTCTACAGGCCACATTCTATAAGAAAATTTTTTTCCGGGTCGATCTGAGACCATTTTTTTTCGGGGCTCAAAAAAAGGCAGTGTATAACCTTCCTTTTTTACCAAAAATCGACTACACCAAAATTTCTCGGGAAAACACTTTTTCTATTAATTTGGGTGCGTAGAATCGAAATCAATTCGTACTTTTCGATCAGACTTCTCAATCAAAAGTTATAGACTAGAAACCAATTCCGAAAAAAAATTCAAAGGGCTGTAACTTTTGAACTAGTAGCCCAATCTTGGAACTGTTTGAAATTATGGATTCTACAGGCCACATTCTATCAGAAAACTTTTTTCCGGGTCGATCTGAGACAATTTTTTTTTTCGGGGCTCAAAAAAAGGCAGTGTATAACCTTCCTTTTTTACCAAAAATCGACTGCACCAAAATTTCTCGGTAAAACACTTTTTCTTATTAATTTTGGTGCGTAGAATCCAAAACAATTCGTACTTTTTCGATCAGACTTCTTAATCAACAGTTATAGACTAGAAACCAATTTCGAAAAAAACAATTCAAAGGGTTGTAACTTTTGAACTAGTAGCCCAATCTTGGAACTGTTTGAAATTATGGATTCTACAGGCCACATTCTATAAGAAAATTTTTTTTCCGGGTCGATCTGAGACAATTTTTTTTTCGGGCCTCAAAAAAAGGCAGTGTATAACCTTCCTTTTTTACCAAAAATCGACTACACCAAAATTTCTCGGGAAAACACTTTTTCTTATTAATTTGGGTGCGTAGAATCCAAATCAATTCGTACTTTTTCGATCAGACTTCTCAATCAAAAGTTATAGACTAGAAACCAATTTCGAAAAAAAAAATTCAAAGGGCTGTAACTTTTGAACTAGTAGCCCAATCTTGGAACTGTTTGAAATTATGGATTCTACAGGCCACATTCTATAAGAAAATTTTTTTCCGGGTCGATCTGAGACAATTTTTTTTTCGGGGCTCAAAAAAAGGCAGTGTATAACCTTCCTTTTTTACCAAAAATCGACTACACCAAAATTTCTCGGGAAAACACTTTTTCTTATTAATTTTGGTGCGTAGAATCCAAAACAATTCGTACTTTTTCGATCAGACTTCTCAATCAAAAGTTATAGACTAGAAACCAATTTCGAAAGAAAATTCAAAGGGCTGTAACTTTTGAACTAGTAGGCCAATCTTGGAACTGTTTGAAATTATGGATTCTACAGGCCACATTCTATAAGAAAAATTTTTTTCCGGGTCGATCTGAGACAATTTTTTTTTCGGGGCTCAAAAAAGGGCAGTACCTTCCGTTTTTACCAAAAATCGACTACACCAAAATATCTCGGGAAAACACTTTTTCTTATTAATTTGAGTGCGTAGAATCCAAATCAATTCGTACTTTTTGGATCAGACTTCATAAACTATGCAATTCCACCTGGCCCGTAAGTACCCAGTCCGTCCCTGCTTAGAAGTCTTCGGGCAGGATTCTAATATAATTTCGAAATATAAAACTGTGTGAGTACATGCCAAATTGCCAACCCGGTCTAAGAGAATCAGAAATACTCTCAGATTATTTATGAACATTTGCAAATACGTTATAAAGACTAACAGAGTGCTTTTAATGCCAAAAGTGATGCAGAGGTGTCTCAAAAATATTAAGGAAGTTCTGAAAATTATAGAGGATTATCTAGCAAATATGCTGCTAAATAGAAACTTGGACATGAGCAGATTAATCTGCCCATTGCTCGCCGTCTACAATCATCAGGAGGAGAGCGGGTCAACTCTGCCCCCGAACCCATAGGGGGTGTAGATCTTATTGTGGTGGGATCACAAAAGCACAAGAAAAAATGTTTGTAAGAATCAAGTTTCGTGTATTATATTCTCCTTATTCACGTCTCCATTTTCCGAATTTGTCTGTATTTTAGAGCGAAATTTTGCATTACCCATTTGTGAAGGGCTTTAAATTCATATTTTGCTAAATCTATAGGATAGTTCGAAAAGAACTAGGTAAAGTCAGGTTCCTTTAAACAAAATCGAAGCACAATTTCAGCAATATCTCATAAATGTCTCTGGCGTTTTCGAAAATTTTTTTCAAACCTTCATACAAAAACCCTTCCAAAGACGCTGCAGGTAATAAGTAAGAAGGATATTTCATTTGTAGGTACGATTTCCAAGAAAAAATATACTAAGGGTAGTTTCCAACGTAATTTCAGAAGAACTTCACGTGCGTATTAGAGGGTAAAGTTAGGTTCACGTAAAACAAGCTTTGCGTCAAATTCTCACGTTACTTGACCTACCTAAACGTGATACAAACACGAAATGTTAGAATGACCACTGTCCATTACG